ACTATTATGGGAGGTATCAGGACTCCTGAAACAAAATATTGTAAATTAATTAATAAAATCAACATAAAAGAAAAAAGTCAAAATTGATGTTATTTTACATTAATAATAATATTAAAAGCCGACGAAACTTTGATTTTCGGGAAAATTTAAACTATTTTCGACCAATTTACTTTCAAATCGAATCATATTTCATTTCACGATTATACGATTGAATTAACCTTAACTTTTGACACTTAAACTCGGAAAAATTCGCAGGTATTCGAATCTTCTTATATTATAAACTACTATACTAATTGATAGAAGAAATTAGTATAATGATTAAATTTAACTTCAGGTTCGGGTAACAAAAGCTAAGCGGCGCGAGCAGCGAAAATTGTGTTTTCATTTTTCTTTCTTGGCACACTGCTATTGAGATATTTTCTAGTGGTTTTCTGCTCGCTGAACTTTTAGAACTGTACTGAATAATTCACACTTTCAAACTAAGTTTATCCGGTAACAGCCACACCGATAGAAAATCAATGAGTTCAACTGACTTTAAGTTGGGCAAACTACTTGTAAATTTAAAAATGGTAACTCTTTACAGACCGAGAAATTATACTTCCAATTTATGATAATCTTTTTTATTTTCTTTATCCTATTGTTCGGAATGCCAAAATATCGCGGCGAATGACTTTTCTTTGTTTTGAATGGTCCAAAATTGGGGTCAAACTATAAATTTTAATAAAAAAAAATTTGTTGCCTATTTTATTATAAGTACTAAGTACAGAAGAAGGAGAAAAATGAATAAATTTTCAAAGAGGACAATAATCGGAATTAAATAACTCTTGAAGGATTAACACTAACATATCATGTGTTATCTTTGTCCTACATTTGTAATGAAGAGTATCCCTGTGGTTCTGCGTACAATTGGTAGGATAATGTGGCCATCTAATTATTATAGAGACACTTACTAAGAACACTAGCCACTAATGCTGGTGGGAGGGCAGTCCTTCCGGACTACGCCGGAAGGTAAGGCGGAAGGCCCTCTTCAGCCTGCTTTCAGGAATCGTGGGAATGGGTGAGTGGTGGTTCGGGTGAGAAAGATGAGACGGACGAAATGAAGACAGAAGAGAGTGAGAGATTATCTGTGGAATATTACTGCCTCAGCATTTGCCTAGGTGATCCAAGGAAACCAACAGAAAAACTTGGACCAAGGCAGACGGACAGACCCGGAATCGAACCGGCGTCCTCCCGAATGCTAAGCAATGGTCTAGTCCTCTAGGCCATGCCGCTCGGTTCCCCGACATATCCACCCGTATACTTACAGTCACTCAGAAGACTGTAGTTCCACCCTAAGATGCTTTTAATTTTATTAATCTTTCTTTTATATTTATATGGGGTCGCCAGGAAACTCGCAATCATAAATGAGGTCGTGAATGAAAAAAGTTTAAGAAGCCGTGGTCTAGTCCTCTAGGCCATGCCCCTCGGTTCCCCGACATATCCACCCGTATACTTACAGTCACTCAGAAGACTGTAGTTCCACCCTAAGATGCTCTTTATTTTTTTAGTGCTGAAAATCTAAATGTTTGAGACAACTTTCCAGAATAGTCGATACCTAGAACAAATGCAGTTTTCTCCTAATGAACATTGTAATATCTACCTACAACCTATATGTAAATTGCTGTGTTGTTTGCATAAAATAAAGAATCCAATATTTTTCTTGGATCATTATCAGTTATTGAATAATCATGAGCAAACACAGTTTGTACTTTCGTAGCTCGGGGCGCAACCTTATTAGTCGACGAAAAGCATTTAATAATATCCACCCGCGTTCCGTTTTTCAATAGTTCATCTTTGAAAATAAATTAATAAGGGTGTGCAGCCAGCAATTTGACCTTTATTTTGTAAATGAATAATGGAGCCATCCCGCCCGTTAATGCTGTGTATTAAATTACGTAAAGAAAATTGAGGCCGAACAACGCTGCGCTGTTCTATTGTTTCAAAAGTCGATCCATAAAAATTCAAAGTAAAATAATGACAACGCATTGACGTCGTTATATATAATTTAGCAAAATAATAACCGGCCCACATGTGATCTCCGTCCATAAAAAAAATTATCAACCAACTAAAGCGCACAATAGAGACCAGGTTTATGACCTACACCATGTAGGAAGGTATACATTATACCAGTTTCTATAGGGTTTTTCGGAAAGTCATTTCGTTTTTTTTTGTGGAAATGAAAGACAGTTTTCGTATAATAAACAAATACTTTATTAAATTATATATTGACCGTTCTGGTCCAACACCTTTTGCCATCTTTCTGCTAGTAGCATAATTCCACGCTCATAAAATTTTTGGTCTTTGCTGGCAAAAAACTGATCGAGGAGGTTTTTGACCTCCTCATTTGAGGTGAAGGTTTTACCGTCTAAAAAATTTTGGAGTGACCGGAACAAATAATAATCCGATGGTGCCAGGTCTGGAGAATATGGTGGGTGTAGCATTGTATCCCATTCAAGCTGTAAAAGCTTTTGGCGAGTGACCAAACTTGTGTGAGGTCTCGCGTTGTCTTGGTGAAACACTACACCTTTCCTGTTGATTAGTTCTGACCTTTTCTGTTGAAGTGCATCATTCAGTTTGTCCAGCTGATGACAGTAGACTTCCGAATTAATCGTTGTGTTATCCGGTAAAAGCTAAAAAAAAACGATTCCTTTAAAATCCCACCAAACAGACAGCATCACCTTTTTTTGGTGAATATCGGCTTTGGAAATGGTTTGAGCCGGTTCATCTTTTTTGCTCCATGACCTCTTGCGTTTGACGTTGTTGTATACAACCCATTTTTCGTCCCCAGTGATGATGCGCTTCAAAAACGGATCATTTTCGTGACGTTTGAGAAGCGAATCGCAGACGTCAATGCGGCGACACAGATTTCTCTCTGTGAGAACATGGGGAACCCATACATCGAGCTTCGAGGATAATCCCAGGCCTTTCAAGTGGTCATAAACTGTTGAATTTGATAAATTTAACCTCAATCCGATCTCACGTGTTGTTATTCGCCGGTTCACATCAACTAATGCCTTTATCGCGTCTTTATCAGCTTCAACCGGCCTTCCCGAACGTGGTGCATCTTCGACATCAAAATTGCCGGATCGAAATTTAGCGAACCAGTTCTGGCACTGGCGTACTGTCAACACACCTTCTCCATACACATCAGTCAATTTCTTTCTGGCTTGAACAGCATTTTTACCCTTTCTGTAGTAAAACAGTAAGATATGTCGAAAATGCTGCTTATCGCTCTCCATATTTAAAAGGGCACCAACCAAAAACTACTGCGTAGAATTAATTGGAATTTTTCACACACAAGCCTTGCTAAATGAGCTCTCAAAGCATATAAAAATTATACGGCTTAAATGTGAAGTTGGGTGCAAAAGAATACAATTAAATCCTCTGTCGGGAAATAACGAAATGACTTTCCGAACAAACTAATAGTTCGTTAACAATAACATAAGGACATGTTTTGGTATGTCCGATAATTACTATTCTATTTAGAGCAGACAATTTACATACATCAGTTCAGTTATTTCAGAGATGGCCGCCCTTTAATGACGTCAAACAGTAACTTTGGTGCTCACTCCACACAATTTGCTATCTATCATGGATCAGTTACAAAAGATAGGACATAAATGCGATATCTCTCTTTCCTTTGAATGAAGCCGATTGATTTCCAATTAAATAACAAAGGGATCGAAAGTCTATTGGACATGAATCGCAGGTTGCGATTCGATCTATTAAAACACTTAATATGAAGAAATGTGAAAATTTATTTGAATTAGGAGATACAAAATATAATACGAATCTTTATTTCAAACACCACATATAACAATTCATTCGAAATATTCCGTAGTAAAAATATCCATTAAACAAATGCCATTAAATTACCACTAATAATAATTAATAGTAATAAACGGAGAATTGCCAATGGGATGAATGGAATTTCTACTAGAATTCTATTGTAAATCCCATTCCCGAACTCAATGGGATTTCCATTGCATTCCATTGGAACTTCCATTCCTGAATCCAATGAAAATTCTAGTGTAAATTCTTTATTTTTTACCTTTAATTATTGTTAGTGGTAATTAAATGACATTCTTTTTAATCAAGATGAAATATGAGGTTTTTCGACGAAAACAAATATAAATTACATGACAATGATTATTCCAAATATTTTTCCATTTATGCCAAATGGTTTCGAATGGAATTTATAAATTGAAGTTCAATGGAAATTTTTCCTACGGGACAAGATGTACAATGGAAACTTTTGATAATTTAAATCAAGATCAAGATTTCTTGAGGCAAGACTTAAAGAAACGAAGACGTTATCAAGATCGCGTACCTAAACAAAAATAATATAGACGAATAGGGTAGGACTCAAATTTCTATAATTTTGTCGTACTGTCTCTTCTTGCGGCTGTCCCAAAATCCTTAATCTTAACTTCTGAGGTACTCATACATAGAATATAACTCGATTACAATACCTATTTGTTTAGAATTAGCGTTTAGATTATAGAGACTAATTTCTTAATTGGTCACGTTAACGAGATAGCAATTAAGTTAATATCATCGGTAACACGTAGCAGTTAATCATCATGATAAGAAATGTTTGAGAAGATTGACTACAATGTCAACTAAGTATCTATGCTAGAAGAAAAGTCAGTACAACTAGCCTTAATATTTGGATAAATGAAAAATAAATTGTGTTCATATCTAGATGAGATTTTTGATATGTTTAGGTAGCAAAAACGATTGCTTGTTATTTTGGGAAAATCCATTATAAGTAACAAATATAAATAAACGACAACAGCTACCAAAAGCTACTAACTTATTTTTATTACTATCTTTTATACTGTGCAAATCTGCAAATACAGTTTTATCTGTAAATACTGTATAATTTATAATTTTAAGGTTGATAAGATGTTCATAAGGCCTTGTCTCATAAGTCAAACTATTGTGTTTATAGTTTCGTGTGAACATTTGTTGAGAAAGGTAGTTACCTGGAAAAACTATTTATAAATATTATATAAAAATGACAGTAAACCAAGAGAAAAGCAAACAATGGCCTCAATATCTGGCCACCATCATAGGTAAGCATTTACTTACACTAAAATGAACTAAATATTTATAAGTATTTCAAGCGATTGCTTATTAATTGGAAATATCTCTTTCTAATTAATTCCTTATCCATATGAATGTTTGTAAATGCTAGAGAACAATTCAGATCGTTCAAGAATATTCAAGAGTGTTCCAAAATGACATGTGTATGGGTCGGTGGCTGGTAATGGGTGATTGAGTCTAAAACAATCTCTTCACCTGCGACTCAAATTTAGCAGAAAATATGGAAGAAAATATTGTGCAAGATTGACACTTTAGAATAGATGTGATTTATTATAAGAATATCACATGTGATTTTCGACCATTTATTAGAATCGACCCTTCTTACTTTCTTCTAAATTATTATTCTATTAATACTCACTGTAAAATGAATTTGGACTAATTTCTATAATTCCTTCATCATCATCATCATAAGGTCGTCAGTCCTAAGACTGGTTGGACACGTATCTCCACTCTTTCCTATCCTGAGCTAATCTTCGCATTTCCCTAAAACTAGAACAACCATATCCTTCACTATTTGCGAACAGTAATCTAATCTAGGTCTACCTCTATCTCTCCTAACTCCTGTTTCTGCTTCTAGTATATCTCTGACTAGACCTTCATCTCTGAGAAGGTGTCCTACCAACCTATCTCGCCTATTTCTTATATAGAATCCTCTGCTCTCTTACTCTTTCTAATACTTCTTTATTTCTAAACTTCTCTATCCACGGTATCCTCATCAATCGCCTGTAACACCACATTTCGAACGCTTCTAACCTCTTCTTTTCCGCCGCGCCCAATGTCCATCTTTCGCACCAGTACAACGTAATGCTCCAAACATACACGTTTAACAACCTTTTGCGAATTTCTAAATTATCCGTTTCGCGAGCATAGAAGTAACTTCTTTTTATTGAAGAGGCGACTGGACCTTCGCTATCCTTTACTTTATATCCCTACTACTCCTTCCATCCTGACTTATCTGACTTCCTAGATACCTAAAATCAGCCACTTCTTCTAATTTTTCGAAACCTATCTTTATATTCGCTCTTTCCCTACTTTTTCTTCCCTTACATACTCGAATTTTTGTTTTACTTTTATTTATTTTCATACAGTACCGTTTTGTCAATGCCGCTTCCATTTTTGTTTTATTTTGTTTTGTTTCTTTTATAATTTAGGTTCTTTGAGCACATTTGGGATTGGCTTGCAGTTTGGTTGGCCTTCACAAGCAATACCCAAAATACTTTCTGACGAATTTCCGGGAAACATCACAAAAGACGAGGCTTCTTACATTCTTTTAATTGGTCCGTTATCATATCTGGTTGCCGCTCCATTATTTGCCTTCCTTGGCGATATAATCGGGAGAAAGAAAAGTTTGCTCCTGCTCGCCGTTCCTCAAGTGATTGCATGGATTCTCATAGCCCATGCAAGGACGGCCGTGATCTTCTATGTGGCTCGACTGATAGCTTCCGCGTCTGAGGGTGGACTTTATGCAATCTACCCCATGTATATAGGAGAAATATCAGAGCCAAAGATTAGAGGAATATTAGGATCATCATTGTCCGTTTCTATTTTGGTCGGACAGCTGATAATGACTGCGTATGGATCTTACACGTCATTGACAGTCTCTGCCTACATTGCGTGCGTATTTCCTGTACTGTTTCTAGTCCTTTTTGTTTGGATGCCCGAGTCTCCTTATTATCTTTTAATGAGAGAGAGAAGAGACGACGCTGAAAAGTCCCTCAGGAAATTGAGAAGAATGGAAAATGTTGATTCAGAACTGGAGAGACTAACTGCAGATGTTCAACGACAAATGTCTGAAGCTACCACAATAAAAGAATTGTTCAAGGTTGAGAGTAACAGAAAAGCGCTGAGAATCATGTTTTGGCTCAGACACTTCCAGCAGTGGTGCGGAATTGCTCCCATAGCATTCTATTCGCAAATGATTTTTAAAGAAGGCGGTGACTTCTTATCGCCGAAAGTTTCTTCTTTAATCGTATTCCTCACGCAAACAGTGTTTACTTTTGGAACATCTTTGGTAATAGACAAACTAGGTAGAAGACCGCTGTTCATAGTTTCTTCAATTTTCACATCTCTTATACTTTACATACTGGCCGTGTACTTTCTTGTAAAAGGTAGCAACTACGACGTGTCCAATTTCACATGGGTCCCTATAGTAGGGATGAATCTGTTCATGGCGTTCATGAGTATTGGAATTGGAATAGCGCCGAATTTGATGTTGAGCGAAATGTTTTCCGCAAGTATAAAGGCCAAAGCTTTAAGCATTTGTTCGATATATTTTGCAATCTGTTTAAGCATAACCCCGCAGGTTTATCATCTTTTGGAAACGCATTTGGACATTTGCGCTCCATTTTTCTTATTTGCAACGTCTACCCTTATAGGTGCCATGTACGCGTACGTGTGGATGCCCGAGACCAAAGGAAAAACGTTGGAAGAAATACAGCAGCACCTGAAGGGACGAGATCGAAAACGTAAAACAACTGTTCAAAACGTGGCAAAAAATGCATGAGCAATCGAGGCGGGAATTTCAAACTTCTGTAATAATTATCATATAAGTGCGATTGTGTTGAATTTGTGAACAATAACAGACATTTATAATAAATTAAAATTAATACGATAATACTAGTAAATAGTACCGATGTCAGAACACTAAAAAGATAGGTATCATTATCATCTGCTATTTTGGGTCCAACCGATTAGCAGATGATGATACTCATGTATTTAGAGTTTTATAATTAGTAACATTGCAGATATAAGCTTAAGGGAATTGTAATAAAAATGTTTTTTATAAGATGGTTTTTGCAAAATTACAATGAAATAAAACTGTTTAAAAGTACCGTGTTATTCTGTAAATGTTTTTGCCTTAAATATGCAAATTATCCCAGTTTAATTAAAAGTTCGGACATTTATCTAGCTGATAATGAAAATTCCGCAGCTGAAGTGGATACAATTATAACTCAGCGTTTTCAGCATTTACTAATTAAATTCGTAGTCTGTTTGCTGATTTCATAAGGCGAAACAGTTTGTAAATTCACACCTACACAGCTATGTATACATATAAGTACTAATTGGCTATTAATTCCACAACCGCGCTGGTATAAATAAGAATTCATTCTAAACGAACAAAACAAATAATACCAAGAACTGTTTAATGCAGTTTACACTAATAAAAGTTATTTGATTAATTAATTTACATCTATAACGTGTTGTAATTAATTAACACCTATACGTGCTATATTATAAGGGCAAATTTATAAATGCCTAGAACAACATGTCCTTCAAAGTAGATAGATAGAATACGAATAATTTTTACCCATAAGTATGTTTATTACATTTACATACAGTGAAAAATGAAAATTTTTCAACTTTTATTGTGTTGTAATGAATAAATAATAATTAAAGTTATTTAAAAATTTAATTAATAACATAAATTAATAATATTATCAAAATAACCTATTACTTAATATCTACAAAATATGACAATTATATTAGCATAATTCTGGTCAAGACCAGGCGTTACCTTATTGCTTCTTCTTCTACCTTTGCAATAAATATCGATATGACACTCTGTCAATAATAAAAATTGTATGTATCCGGTCTGATTAGTTAATAATGGGTTAGGATATTATTATACTGTAAAGGGATTATTGGTTTAAGAAATATGAGAAACATTTTTGACTATTAAAATCAATTTTCGATTATTGTATGTGCTACATAGTGTCCACAATAAAGTCTTATTTCGGTCACTGACACAAACTTTGTACATCTAAATTATTTGTTTAAAAATGCGGGTTAACACCTATTTTTACCTACTACGATAGTTTAAATAGCGGAATCAATAATAATCAGGGAGTCAAATGCAATATTACGAAGGAGTAAAGAATGCAAGGTGGTGAAACGGCTTGCCGTCTTCACTCACCCTGTGATGGTTCCGTCATTTTCTATGATAGATACGAAAAACTTTTGTTTTTCATTTCCACGCTGGAATTTAATGCTTTTCTAATAAATTGAGCAAAAAACAAAAACGAAAAATTTTGGAGTCCTTAATACGGTGAAGGCTTGAAGCCGAGATCGACAGCTCTTTACATATAATGGTTTGATGGGTTTCATTTTTCCTATCGTCATTGCAAGGTAATTCCCAATGGTCTTTTCTGGTTTCGACGTTCAACAAAATCTTCAGATGAGCTAAAATCGTTCACGAGATCCATCACGTCTTAGGAGATCTTGCAGCCGAGCGAATGCCCATCTTATGCAGATGCTTGACAATAGTTGGCATTCATTCGTAATATCCGCCGGTAATAAATGCACCACCCACCCGTACATTCGAACACATACAAAACCTTGCACGCACACACTCAAACGCGAACACACACGTGCGATAATTGTCTACGTGGGTTCTTCTGCGCTGCGTGATGTCGATGCCGGCAAATAATAACAAGTTCGTGGGTTGTTTGATGTCTCAATCCCAGACAGCTGCAGTCGCCGCACAGCACCGGCTACGACCGAACAGAAAGAGTAATTATGGGGTGTTGTTTACAGCTTGCTTGCCTTGCCCGCCCGTGGCCAAGACATCTTCGTCGTCTCATCATACCTGCACCGTACAGGGCGATCCGCGACCAACAAGAGAACGACTGCCTACCGAAATGTACAGGAATATGATGAACGCTTTTATATAAGGAAGAGAATGATACGTAACTATGCATATGTTAACGGAAATGTGTGTAATCCGTCATTGTAAACAATTCCTAGGAAATG